TTTCGGGCATGGGGGTGATCCAGTCTCTATTGTTCACTAATGTCTTGACGAATTCTGTTTTGCCCGATTTCGAGGGTCCAGCAACCACCATGGTAAACTCGTGTTTCAATTGAAAAGAAGGGAGGGGTGTCTCCTCGGAATACATGTTGATCAATGAAGGAAAAGTTGGGTTCAGGGTCTTATTTATAGTTAACACAGAAATAGGCGTTTGGACTGTTGAATCTCGCCTCGACAGATGGGGCAAAACTGAAAGGAAGGAGCACACAAAGCACAGCAGCATACGTGTCCGCAAGGTAGAAAAACGATTTGTAATTCCTCGTCTAAACAAATGTGACATTTTCCTCGAGCCTGGACGTCTGGTTCTGGGTTCAGTAGAGGTTTGATCTCAGGTAAAGGTTTATATCCCTGCTGATCTAAACCCGCAATAAACACATTCATCACCCACCCTCGTCCTTTATACAGATTGATGTAAGGACAATTGGGGTTCCAATAAGCATGTTCTACACAAGGATCGTCCTCGGGATCCCAATTACTAAAAATCATTCCACAATGAAAACAGGTAGCGTTATCTTTCACTCCCCTGTAGTAAAGCCCGGCTCGAGCTAGGTCTGGTATTTTTCCTAAGAGAGGTTCTGGCCATCCCTGCTCAAAAGTAGCTTCTCTCTTTGAGAGCCGAGCATACTGGGGATAACGCATGGGTTGATCTAGCAATTTCTCAGTCATGACTGAACTTTTGATTTGTATTGCTCCCCTTTTTATAGGGAAGAAGAAAAATAACAACACATAAAACAACAATTCAATTTTTTTTAATTCAAAAAGTCAAACATATCAACATATCAATAACCATAAGGTAAAGTGTTATAATTCTCTACAATTTGTCTCTTGTCATACACAATTCTATACTTTTTCTCTAATGGTTTGGTCACGAGCTCATGATCACGAGTCCTCTGGATTTTGTTGGGATAAGTTACTGTCACTTCCTCTATTTCTTCTTTCAGCATTTTTTCTAAAGTCTCTAGGGACACGATCTGGGAGGTACGATAGTTGAGAGTGATTCCTTTGACTTTATGAACCTCGGTTCCTTTGGCCGTCCGGTAACCATAATTTTTAGGGCCTGCCGACATGAATTTGATGATGTGATCCCCGTCTAATTCGTCGGTCCATTCTCCTAAACTATTGCCCAAGGTAGGATTAAAGGCTCCTTCCCGATGTTGGTAAATGATACTGTCCGTATCGAAATAAAGGACCCGATCTCCTAAAGGTTGTAAAGTCTCGTAGAGGTGTAAGCGGGCATGCGCGGTAGTAAAACAAGCCAGGACCACGTTTCCAAAGGGACATTCTTCGACGAATTCCTGTTTGTCTTGATAATTCACTAACATCTTGTCTTCATTGGGGTTCTCTTTATTGTCTAAGAGTTGCATGCCCTTGATGTCGAGAGTCGAATCTTGTAAGAGTTGCTGTAATTCCTCTTCGTCCAAGTATCTGGTTTTGGGTAATAACAAGCGTTGAGCAAATTTTCCCCACAGACAATTTAAAAAGAGTTTAGCAATGGTTCTTCTCACTGGATTCTTCTCGATACTGAGAATGTCCATTCGGATGCCTGTTTTGTATAAGACTTCTCGAATGTAATCTTGTTCTTGTTCTGAGGTCTTACAGTCGAGGGGAAATCCGGAGGCTTCCTGTTTGATCTTGAGGAAGGTATCGATGTAAGATCTGAATAACTCTTGACTGCTTTCTTTAAAATGCCATACTTCGTAGATTCGATCTAAGGTATATCCCATGTCTAGGGCTTTATGTAATTCGGTCGTCACCCAAGTACCCGTGAGACTACGTTCCTGGTCGGTGTGTGGACATCGATCTTGAGACGTAGAGTCCTGTCGTTCGGCACACGTGCGACATAAGGGAAATAATAACTTGCCTCCCGTCCGATAAGGTAATACGGGGTGATAGAGGTCTCGGGGAGGTAAGACCCGACAGTGAATGAGACCGAAATAACTTCTCACGTCCTGGAACTCGTCTGTGATGATCTCGGGATGCCCTACGGGAAAAGGTCGGTGTTTCAACACGTAAGGGTATAGGGAACAAACGTCCACGTATCTCATGTCCCCTTCCTCACAATATAATCGGGTGGCATTGGTCCGACCTCCGTACAGGGCTTCTCGAGGTTTCAAAGGATCCGGAATGTCCAGGTTTCCTACAAATTGCTGTAAACTCTCATCTTTTTGCACTTGCTGATCGAAATCGTGCTCCCAGATACCACGGACGGTATACCCCATGTTTTCTAAATCGCCAGTCCTTCTGAGGGTTTCTTCGTGTAATTGCTGGTAAGTAAATTGGGTCCGATGAGGATGAGTTTCGGTCTGTAAACTGGGATAGCAGGTGGGGCATCCGTGCCAATAGCACCCGTAAAATTCGTAGACGGTGCGAGTCGCTTCCTGGTATCCGTCGACGGTATAATTTCCGATCTGGACTTCGCCCCCGTTTCTGGCATGTTGTATGTGACATCCAGTCTGTTGACTCATCCAGGTGAGCCACCGACAGGCTTTAGCCGAATATTGTCGTGCCGGTTGATACCCGAGGTTCGGAATGATGGCAATGGTGTCTTCAGGCATGAATTGTCGACGGTAGGCTAAATTAGCAGCACTGGCAAAAGTGATGGATTCCTGGAAAGGGTCCACATTGACCAAACTCTTGAGGGTGGCTCTAAACTTTGCACAGCATCGGCGTAAAATGTCGACGTCCGAGACACAATACTCTACAAACTCTTTCTGGAAATTAAATACTTTCCCCCTCTGTTGTTCGTACCATTCAAAAAAAGCCCGTCGTCCACTGATAGACATTTCGTCCGGATTGTAGAAAGCTGCCGGTGGATAAGGTCCTACGTAATTCTGGTTCTGTTCCGTATTGAAAAAGTGGGGGAAATAGCCTTTCTTCAATTCGTCGAATCCGAAAGCGGAGGGCATCTTGGCTAAAGCAAACGGTAAGAAATTATACGAGTCGATGAATTTCAGTCCGCATATTTCCATGTATAAGATCTTACTGCCGTTCATGATGACGTTAGGTTTCAGGCAAGAGGAATGCACCAGGTGATTCAAAATGAACTGTCCGTCGTAGCCTTTGAAGTTATGGGCGATGATGATGGCCTCGTCGTGTACTAAAGTGGAATTCTTAGTACCTGTAGTGGGTTGTAATAACCAGTCCATGAACTTCTTTAAGGTGTCTGGTCCTTGAAATAGGTGCTGACGGGGTCCCATGTGTTGACAATGAGGACAGGGTTGGTCTATGGGTAAGTGACTGCAATGTTGACAGACGCGGTGTGCCACACACAGATTAGGGATGTGAATGCCGGTTTCCTGAGTGCATTCGAAATCGAAATAGATGTAAAACTCTAAGGTCCCTTTCCCCTTCTTCTTCTTCTTCTGGGGCTTCTGTTGTACGTAGCACTGATGATCGGTATAGACGATTTTCTAGATCTTACACTGTTTCTGTCCTCCGCATTTGTGATGAGGGAATAATTTCTTAGGTATCCAGGACTGACACTTCTCGCATTGTTCCATTAAATTGCAGACAGTAGTGGTGGTCTTCTTACTATGGGGTCTTAAATGATTTTCGTAGCAGGTCCTGTTCTTAAACATTCCATGGCATTCCTGGCATTTAATCTCGATCCCTTCATCGGGACAATTAGGGTGTTGTCCTAAACAAAAGGTACAGCGATGAGGACACTTGGAGCGATGGTCTGTGACATGACTGTACCCCACGTCGCAATGATCACAGTAATATTGGTTCCCCGTTACTCCCGGCATGGATATGATGGCATCGTAATGATGGTCGTCTAACAAAATGTTCAAACAAGTTCCGTCTCCCCAGCCTTTGAAGATGCGCTCTAAGGTGAGTTTAGTCGAAGTAGACTTGAACTGAAATATTTTCAGTCGATACTGAGGAGCTAATACCTGTTGTAATTTCGTCCACTCTGCATATCCACAAGCTTGAGTGATATCACACTCGGCCTGTTCCATGAGGGCTATGGCTTGGTTCTTCTGGTCAAGGATTTACATCTCCTAATCTCATGCGTTTCCATTGTTTTTCCCATTCGGGGTCTGGATGTTCGGGTTTTTGACTGTGTAATCGAGTCACGACGATGGCTCTAGCTAAACAAAATTTATCCCAGGGATTGACGATCCGAACGATGGCTCTTTTATTGTTCTTAAAAGTCTCCTTATTCACTTGTAGATGTTTGGTTTTCTGGCCACCACTTCCCTCGGGATACTTGACCCGAAACATATCAAATTCCATGCCCCCGTCGCCCAGTTTGAACCCCTTTCTGGATTGTTGCACGGCTTCAATCTTGTCTAAAATGACGTCCTCGTTAAAATGTTTACATTGAGTAAACTCGTACCAAATCTCTGATTCCAGAGATTTGTGGCGTATGTTCAGGCGGAGGTAATCGTTAGGATTACACTGCATTTTCGATTTGAAAGTTTGTAACATGTGTCTGAATAATCGCCGAACGAATCCTCTGTTTTCTTCCTCTGGAAACTCCTTAAAAATCACAGTGTAAAAATCCTCTTGAGCTTTAAATTTTCTAGAGTGCACCCTTTCATTCACTGTGACTCGATAATACTGGGATATGGCCTTGGGTTTGGGTGGTGAATGAATAGGTAACTTTGACCCCTCATGCGCCCTAGTCCTTTGCTGTTGCTGTCGTTGTTTTTCTAGTTGAGCTCTTCTCTGTAATAGTCTGGCATTTCTTTTCCGAAGCTTTAATTCTCGCTCTTTATTTTCATCAAGAATTTGATCTAATTCTCTTTCCCGTAATTGTCGTTGTCGTTGTAGTTGTTGTTGTCGTTGTTGTTCTAATTGAGCTCTTCTCTGTAATATTTTAGCATTTTTTTCCCGGAGCTTTAACTCTTGCTCTCTTTTCTCATAAAGAATTCGTTCTAATTCTCTTTCCCTTTTTTTCCATTCTAATAATCGTTGAGCATGTAACTGTTTTTCTCTAGTAGAATCCATGACCCCCCACAGGCAGGGAGCTGGATCTGACTGTAGAATGAGCTGAAAGTAGGAGAAAAGCCGTATTTATACAGTGGATGACGTCACAATGCATAGGTAAGCATATTTTTTTTTTTTTTGCACACGACCCTAAACAAACTTGAATTGCTGCCAAGTATTTACCTGTGTAGTCAGCATAAAAAAAAAGATGTAGTAGGTTATCGTATTTTTTGCACAGGGCCCTTACAGATGATGCAACAGGTATAAAAGTCGCTGCCAAAATCGTAGTAGCAGCAGCGTATATGTATAATGTAAACACGTAGTAGTAGTGTAATGTAAACACACACCCCTATATTTAGGGGGATTATATGTACTGAATTCTTGACCCACCTATCCCCCACAGGGGCTGCACTCCCTTGACCCACCTATCCCCTACAGGGGCTGCTATCCCCCACAGGGGCTGCACTCTGCACTCTATTGACCCACCTATCCCCCATCCAGGGGCTGCACTCAGTTGACCCCGTGATATAATATTGTCAAGTTTACTATCCCCCCATATTTTCTAGGGGCTGTGTTCACCCCCCCTATATTGAAAAGATATTCAAAGCTAATAAGTTCAAATTTGTTTTTGCTTTAATTGTATTCCAAATTTTTAATTTTTAATAATGCTTTTTTTCATATTGACATTTTTTATTACATATAAACTATTAATTTTTCATATAATTTTTTTAAGAAGACGCATGAATTCAGTGTCATGCAGTGAAAGGGGTAATCATGACCAGTTTGAAATGTTTGATATGATCCAGAATTTTAATGGAAAATAATGAATATGCAATTTTATTGAAATCTCTAATGATGAAATATAAACGTACGGCGAATGAATGAAATTGTTTGTATGACAATCTATTTTCGAAAAAGATTGTTTGCTTTTTTTTTTAATTATTGAAATTTTTATTTTGTTATAACTTAAAAGGCTATTGATCTTTCTATTTTCATCGTGTAGGATATTTCCTAAATATATTCCTTACACTAGTGTGTCAGTTTGACCGGAAGTACTGATTATTTATATTTTTTTCAAAGGAAGTAAAACTGCACCTCCCTCTGGTGAAGACAAAAGTATACAAAATCAAATTTTACCAGGGTGAATTTATGTATGTTTAAAATATCAAAAGGATAAATAACACAAATAAACTTTTTTCCAGAAATCAACAACATTTCTCATAGATTAATGTAAATTGATGACAAGTATAATGTTATCCAGGTATATTGGGAAATTTTATAAAACTTTATCATAAGGTAAAATAATTGTGCAAAATTTTGTATAGGATTATATAAAAAGCGAAACGAAGTCTCGTATCTTATCACCAAAGAAATCCTACGATTCCTTTATATTTTAGGGATAACCCGGATTTATTATTTATATCATTTCAAATCAATCAATCAATCCATGCATTAAATTTTTGCTTGTGTTTTGTACCCTTAAATCTTGCTATCTTAGAAATCGGTACATTTATTTAAAATTTTGATAACGCCCGATAATCGGACACTCGGAAGAGGGTTGAGCAGCGAAGAAACGGGTAAAAAAAATAATACACTGTATGTTTTTTTTTTCTTTCCTAAAAAAGATCGCAAGTGGACTGGTGAAACTGAAAAATATATATGGGCCTCGATCGAGTATTGCAATTTGATAATAAATCAACAGGAAGGATTACCCGGTAATTACCAAAAATTAAGGCGATATATTAGTATGTGAATCTTTAACTTTAGTGATCTCATCGAGGGTGATTTTTATAATTTATGGTTGACCTTTGCTTGAGTAGACCATCCATCAAAATTTGCAGTTTTTGTTTAATCTTGTATCAAAAGATGCATGGAATCGGAAACAAAGCTGACGGACTGCAGCTAACCTGGGGTGTTAAGTTTTAAAAACTATATGTACGATTCATGAGGCAAGTTTAGGGGGGTCCCTAATTTTGAAATGTTCTATTTGAGTTATTAACTTATTATATATCTATATATATAAACGAAACGAAAAACCAACCTTAGGAAATGCAAAGTCCACTTAATAAGTATAAGAAGAGAGTCGTGTATTTGAAGAAAAAATTAACCAAGCCCCCACCCCCTTTCCCATCCATTCATGTACATGTAGTGTAAATGTATTATATTTAGCGTGTACGATATTTGGCGGAAATTGAATTTTGAATAAGTTAGCGTAGATTTGATTTAGCGCATTTCTTCATATTCTTATGTATGTATTTATATGCGAGACATTTAGCGTTGTACTTGATTTAGCGGTGATTGATTTTAGAGAACAAAGAATTTGTACTTTATGTGATTTTCATAAGATTGGTGATGAATTCCATTATGTTTTTGAATGCACACAAAAAGAAATTAAAGAAGCTAGGTACTTAAAATATATTTCAAACTCTTTCACATGTAGACCAAATATAGAGAAATTTAAGCAACTTTTTCCAACAACAAATTGTTCAGCATTGAAAAAATTATGTAAATTTTTATTGATTGTCAAACAAATTATAGATGAAAATAATTGACATGAACATGATACTTTGTACTGTTTATAATGCATGTATTATATTTTTTGTATTGTGTTTGTACATTTTCCTACCTCCTCTCTACAATGTATGTTTGTACATTTAAGAGAATAAATCATTGTCATTGTTGTTGCGTTCCGCCAAAGCCGCTAAAAAGAATACACCGCCAAATATAATATGTTTACAGTATACCCGGTACACAAAAATGTTTTTCACGTTTGAGCTGGTTGCTTCTGACTCGTATCCGACTAAAAAAAATCTTAACTCGCCACCGATTTCTGAAAATATTGTAAATGCATACAAGAGCAGACCACGATTTGAGGCCGGAGAGGGTGTTAAATGTTTGAAAAATGAAAAAAAATGAACTTTTATCATTATTAATTTTTTTTTAACTTAAACGAAAGAATATCCGTCACTGCACACGTTAAATCTAGAATGTGCATCCACTTCCTATAACTATGTAATTTTTGCATAATGCTTCAAATATTAGCAATTCTAGCAAAAAGCGAATACATGTATATTCATTTATTTAGGTTTAATATGTACTCTTTATAAGGGTTGTTGTAAATCATTCACAATTTACTTGGGAAAACAATAGAGGCATACAAAGTGAGGACTATAAAGGTATAGGGTGCCAGGAAGACAAAAATATCCTAACAGTATATTTGAATTCTCTAAACAACAAGGTATTGCAATAAAATACGGGCGATTTGTTTTAGGTTTTTAATTTCTTGATAAAAGCGTTAACTTCTATATTACACGGTCTTCTTATCAGTGTAGAATTTCAGACTAGCAGGTTTTTATAAGTAAACGAGTTTGTTGGGCTATATCAGTTTTTTTTTCTTTAGGAAAAAAAATTAAATTTCATACAGAATGCGTTCAAGTATTTTTAAACAATTTATTTATTTTCCGTACATTGTAAATACGAAGCAGTATACATAATGGGAAGTTTACCAATTCATCTTCCCAGATAATTCTAATGGCTATAATACACCCCATTTTCCACTACATATACTTTACAGTGAATTTACTAATATTATCAATCAGTGCGTAATCTAACTAAAAATAAAAATAAAGAATCGAGCGTGCAGGCGTGTACATGTACGTGTCGGAGATGACGTTATGTTCAGACAACAATTCTCTTTCAGGCAACAAATGTCTCTTTCTTTTAAAAAAAATACTTTGTCTCACATTATGCGCTGAAACAGGATCTTCCTCGTCTTGTTAAAATTTGTTAAAATAACACATACCGCAGGTGCGATTTACGACATTGATACAACGTAAACCCGCAATTTTTTGATAACGTCACAACTATTGTAACGTCATTTAAGAAATAAATAACAAGTTTATAAACTTCAATGGGAATTGAAGTGGGTCGGTCACGTGATCAAATCCTGTGAAGGCCGAAGGCCTTCTCAGAAGATTTGATCACGTACCGACCCACTTCAATTCCCATTGAAGTTTATAAACTTGTAATTTATTACTTATATATACATTTGAGACAGACAATTGAATATATTCGAATTTGATTATTGCACTAACCGTCCGTCGTACATTTTGAAAAATGACGCAAGGTGTAAATCGGCTTGCATGGCGGTTACGCTTCAAATTCATTAGGCTAAGGAATCTATTTCGAAGGGAATATTTTGTGAAAGGCTACTTGTGATCAGTAATAGTGAACAGATTGTTGTTTGGGAATATAATTATTCGTGAAAATTGATAATCGATGCTGAAAATTCACAAGAAACACGTCCGAGGTTTGATGATAAAAAGTTGGAGGAATTTCGGTCGCTGGAAAGGGATGGATGGATCCGATGAATTGAGACACTTGTCCGAGCCAGTTAATTTGCAATTTGATCCAAAACATTCTACGATTTCAGTAACTAAAGACAAACTTATCGTAAAATACTTATTAACATGGACACTGGCGACAACTTAACTTTACATTGAACTACGAAAACGCCGAGGTGTTTGGCAGCTGTTCATGGCATGATTGCAATGATATTTTCCAACAGATTTACACTTTTATCGTGAGTAGAATTTAAAGATAAAATAATAGTTTATCAAGAAAATTTAACGAAAGGTCTACCAAAAATAATGATGAACGTTAGAGACTGTGCAGCTGACAAAAGTGAAAAAAATGTAAACAAACGCTAGGCCCCAGTTTTCTCTATGTACACAGGTTGAATCGGTAGCCAACAAACTGTATGAAATAGTAGTTTACATTGTTAATAAAATAATTATCATTTTACTTGCTTATTTTGTTCATTTTTATACATGAAAAGCAAGTAGAGCAGGTCATTTTATAATTTTTGTACCGGTAGATATTATTGCGCCGTGTGATTAGGTAATGTATTGACCTCTGACCTCTGACAAACTTCATACAGAATTGAAGATATTTTCTCTCTGTATGTTTATATAATGGAGAGATACCACAAATGTATATATTTACGTGTGACGTTACGTTTTTGGCAATTTAAAAATTTACGTTGGCAGCGAAAGGGTTAAAGAGGATGTAAAAATTTAGATTGATAATAGTCCTATTGCACTCTCCGACGTCACGTCGTGTCAAAGGTCAA